GCAGGATTTGGGGCTGTGGCTGGCATCGGCGCAGGCACCGGTGCCGGCACCATCGGTGGTGCTGGGCCGCCGTTGAACCCTTGCTGCCAACCCGGCTGCGTAGGCACGGACACTGGCACAGGCGCACCATAACTCGACAAGTTAGGGCTCGGCAGCATCTGAGGCCTATGTTGAGTGGGCTGCATGGGTGGTGGTGGTGGTGGTGGTGGCTGCTGAGCCTGTGGAGCTGGCGGTTGGGCTTGGTACTGCTTACGGGACAGTGTCAGTGGGGATGCAAGACATGTCATCGACTCGAGGGCTGACTTACCGGTGCCATGTTGGGATATGCAGGGTACCCGGAGTGCATGGCAGGTGGCGGATACGCCTGGCCTGGCGCCGTATACGCAGTCTGCACCTGATTCCCATATGTCGGTGGCATGGGTGCTGGGTACTGGGAGCCAGGATGAGGGGAGAATTGCGGCTGTTGTACCCAGGATTGCTGAGGGCCAAATGGACCGTATAAATGCCTTGAATCGAGACTGTCCGAATCATCTCGCCTCTGCTTATTGACCTTGCCCCTCTTGACCCCGCTGGCTCTGTCTTTGGCAGAAACGGAGCTGGCGCGAGACATTCCATTCTCAGCCTCATTGTCTATTGACAGGTTAGTGATACGAAGTCTACGTGAGAGATACGAAGGGTCTTACCAGGCGTTGACTCTCCCGTTTTCTCCGAGTTGCCAAAAATGCGCTCACGAGCCTGCTTGTATGCTTCTTCGCGCTGTTCTCTGGAAAGCCTGAACAGTACGGTCAGCGAAATGGATACATGCCCGAAAAGAAGGGGGGGGGGACGCACTTTTGGTTGGCGAGGGCAGACTTCTCCTTGCCATCGCTACCGTCTTCTGATGTGACCTTGGAGAGCATGCCGTTGACGGTACCAGATTCGACATCCTCTCCACGTCTCATGATTTTTCGAGGTAACATGACAGGAGGAGGCGTCTCGCTCACGGGCTCCGGAACACCAATGCTGGCCAAAGAATCAGGTACCCTAGCGTACGGTGTCCTGAATATGCGTACTGAGCCGATCCGAGGCTCATACTGGTGCGTCATGTGGTAGTAATCAGCCAATTTGTGAGTTAACATCCTACAAAACGAGTTGGAAGGCGGGAAATCCATGAAAGGTTCTCTGAAGAAGTGTCAGCACAAGAAATTTTATCTGGGATGTGAAATTCTTACTTCGAGTTCTGTACGAACTTGATGAGTTCAGCTTCAAGCCTCAAGAGAAAAAGACGATCTTTCTGGGAGGACATGGCTTCCAGGAGCTTCTCGTCAGGCGACTGTCCGTGAACTGCATTCATGTAGTTGGACAGGTCACTTGTCAAGTTTGCGGCGGGAACCTGAGGGGGGTCGGACGTGGCACTTTGGGGTGTGATGACGCCTTGGCTCACCGAGCCAGAAACGACTTGAGGGGCCCTCCTCTCAGTGGCAACGTGGTCGCCGATCTGAAGCCCTTTGGCCCGCGCTGCAAGATCAGACCCCATTCGAGAGTTGGGAAGGAAGGGGCCTCGGAAGGAAAAGGAATCGTCATCTTCTGCTGCAGCTGCCTTGACACTGGCACTGTCGTCAGGCCGAAGTGACTCCTTTTCATCAAGAGCAAAAGTAGTTCCCGAGGTGATGCTCTTGCCGTCCAGGCTAGCCGGCTTGGTGCCGAGCTCTGAGTTGGAGTCGGCACGCTGCGACTCATCGGAGCCATCTTTGATTGCAGACTTGAAACGGTCGATGGGATGCGAGCCGCTGCCATTCACGACCAAGCTGGGAGTCCTAGCTCCGAACTGTACATCTTTGAGGCCATTTGCGACAGGGTCATGAGCGAGGGGCTTCATTTGGGACCCAAGTTCTGGTGCCAGGGCTACATTGTTGGAGCTGGCGTCGGTGGTAGAGCAACTCCCATTCGCAACAGTATCATGGACAATGGTCGTTGTGGCGGTATCGGCCTGCTTCGTCATGGGGTGGGCCTGTTCTTGGCCAAGAGGAGCGGCGGGTCGACGGGCTGAGGTGAGGGGCGCGTTTTCTTTCGAAGCAGTCGCTGCGATCTGTACACAGAACAGTTCAAGTCAACACAAGCTCATGTGTGAGGGCCTGGTGACCCAGGTATTCGGACTTGGAGTGCTCGAGCTTACCTTCGCAAATGATGGCTTTCGAAGGCCAGGGGAAACCTGTGTGGTCTCCATAATGGAGCCTGGGTAGTTGTTGTGTCTGCGGCAAGTCGTATGTGGGTTGTTGGCCACGACGTAACTGCTTGCTCGAGCAGGCGGTCTTGCAAAGCGAATCGAAGAACGTGGTCCCAGAAGGAGGGGATCAAAAGACAAGATCCGAAATCAAGCACACAACTGGATCGAGGCAGACATGCGGTACGAGAGGGAGGTTCCGTGAATCATTGTCGAGAGAACAGGGTCATGATCGCTCAGCGGGGTTCAATGGCAATACCGATGCCGGGTGCTGCTTCGCGCCAACGGCGGGTTGATCGCCCGGTGCTTCGCAAGCGAAGAAGGTTGTCTGCCCGCGACCGTCAGCAAGGATACCAGTGGGCGCGATAGAGAACAATGCCAGGAGGGGACGAAAGAAAGAATGCGGGCGCACAAGAACTGGAACAAGGCGACCAGAAGAGGAGAGCTGAGGGAAGACACAGCTTGTCGCAGGAGGACGGAGTGCAGGTCGTGGACCAGGCCGCCCGAGCACAAACTCCGACAAGCTTGGGTGATGGGAGGGGGGCAGAATAAAAAGAGCCGCTGTGACTTACCCTAAAGTGGTTGTCTCGCAGTTGGGTCGCAGCCGTAATGGTCTGTTCAAGATGGCACAATGAGAACGTATGTGTCGGTTGCGTATATGATGGATGATGGGGTCAAGCAGGCGCCATTCCCGTATGTTGCTGCAGCCGCAATGTCCCGTGGTACGGCAGGCTGAGGTTGCAGGCGACAGGCGACAGGCGACAGGCAAGGTCAGAATTTCTGGTGAGGACCGAGCAGTGGATGAAGATGGATGTCCCTCCGCACCTGGTTGGTGAGAGACGGTAGGACTGAGGGACCCAGCCCACCGCCCACCTCATGCGGCTTAGCGTCGGTAGACTCTGTGGCGGTGCATGTTCGTGGGTCACGTTGAGCCACAGAAGCCTGCCTCACCTCGTCTCGAGGGAAGAACCAAGGCAAAAAATGGTGGCACTGTTGCCTGCCTGTAACCTCGCTCTACTTGGTATCCGATGACATGAGAGAGGCCGACACAGATTGCACCAACCAAAACTCACTCTGCTTGATACTCGCCCACACCTGTCAACTGCCCGTGTTGAGGCTTCTTGAACACAGCAGACCTCACATCGGTCGACTGTCAGACGCATTTTCATTCTCGTTCTCAAACGACACCTACAACGCCAGGCCACACAGCCGACGACGCGATAGATATTCACCATGTACAGACGCCCACCAGGACCACGCCCATCAACTCCCGCCAATGTTTGCTGCCAAAAGTGCCTCAAACGAGATAAGTCACTATGTATCCTTCGTCTTGGGTCGAAAACTGACTACCATAGCACGACACTACTCTTACGAATGCAAGGAGCCAGCCCAAGCCAGACCTTATGTTCCAAGGCCATCGCGGACACAGCAACTCCGGGATCCCAAGCTTCTCCCCAAACTGACCGAGGCAACCCCGAATGAAGCTGAGAACAAGTGAGCATCGTGAATCTTGCATGAATAAATACCGAAGCTAACATATGTGGCAGAAAAGGCATCGCAGATGCGGAGCTGGCCAAGAGAGAGGCTGAGCGGGAGCGTCAGCGGGCGCTTGAGGCACGCGATGCGGACTCGGGTGATGATGAGCCTCACCGTCGCAATCGCTCAGCGTCGATTGACTCAGTCTCCGCCATATCCACGGAGCGTTCAGCTTCACCGCCACCTCCGAGGCGATCGCCCTCCCCGGTAGCGTCTAGACGGAGGAATCGATCTCGAGACGCTTCGCCCGATCGCCGCCGATCTCCGAGTCCTGGGAGCGACAATGGACAGCATGCGACACATCGTCAGAAGCCGGCCCAGCGCTCTAGGGCACAATCAGAGGCACGATCACAATCACCACCCAGGCACAGGAGAAGGTCGTTTTCAAGGGATAGCCGCTCACCTCCTGCGAGACAAGACCGCAGATACCGCGAAAGGGACTCGGACCGGCCGGCCACAAGTGAGCGAACGAGGCATGATCGTCGGTCTCCGTCGAACTCGCCTCCGCGAGTCCACCAGGGTGATCGTAGGAGGTCACCAATTCCTCGTTCGAGTCGAAACACCCGCATGGACGCCAGAGATGCACAGCCAAAGCAACAGCGTGTGCCTCAGGGAGCCCCACGGGAGCGAAGCCTCAGCCCCTTCAGTCAAAGACTAGCCCTGACGAAAGCAATGAATGATGGGAGATAGAGCAAGGAAAACCCAGAGGAGAGTCGTCGATACCGATGTCAGTTGTCACTCTAGGCTGAGCGCTTGCTTCTATTTACTGAATGAAGCCGATGCGTGTCCCATTTGTGTTGTGGTAGTGCCGCTCGATGGTCCGTCAGTCTACTCGAGCCCCCGTCTCACCTTGCTCATACATGTATGTTCTGCAAATGTGAATGTTGTTCAACCAAAAACAGGTCGAGAAAGCGGCCCAAGAAATGGACAGTCTGATAAACGTGGGCAATCCCGCGTTCGAGCTGCATAGCCAGTTAGTCCGAGGTTTGTACAATCCATTCGCCAAATAAGGCCCCCTATGGCGGAAGACAGGACGATTGTCAAGGCGTGGGATGGCTCAGTGTACCCTTGCCACATTGTGCAATTGATCGTGGATGAGGTTCCTGAAATGTGAAATGCAGTCAATGCGGGGGACTGATTCAAACGCATTTGACGAGTTTCCATTGCTCGGATACTGGCCCTCAAGAGCTGTCAGGTAAGGGTATCATGATGTGTAGAATTCGTCCAGCCTCAAGGTCAGCCGTCCCATCCAGTCCCAAGATTACACATCCGTTTCGTCAGCCTCCCTCTCCCTACGCTCCTCTTCCTCCTCTTCTCGCTCTCGAACGCGCACTCCTTCCACCAACGCGATGCCATCAATTCCCGTCGCATCGCCTTCCGCGCCCTCCACGCCGGCTTCTTGGGACTTGATTTCGGCCTTTTGTGCGTTTGCGATCCTCTCTCGTACCAGCTTGGCGATGGCGTTGTCTGTTCTCACATTGAGTATTTCCAACTTTTTGTCCAGATCCCTCTTCAGGTCCCAGTTCGGCTTTTTTGGTTGGAGTTTGAACAGGTCGATTCCCTTATCGTCAGTCGCGTCTTCGGCCGCTTTGCGCTTCACTTCTGCCTCGACGTCCGCTGCCTGCTCCTCCAGCGTCGGCTTGTCGAGGTCTTGTATCGGCGGTGCCTCGAAACCAAGCTTTGGCCCGCGGGTTTCGGGGTCATAGTTGCGTCCGGACAGGTGCAATTTGGCGACTTCGGGTTCTTCTGGTGGTGCCGAAGAGCGTTCGGACTCTGGGGCGGCGACTTCGTCGATGGGCTGCTTCCTCTTCAGGTTCTTGAACTTGGCGAGTCGCGCTTTGCGGTCGTCGGCCGCTGCGCTAAGGCTGGTGTGCGAACTGGACATGATGTTGTGCTTTCCTCCCACGCGATGAAACAGTCCTCCGTATCTGCTTGCTTGACTTGCGAGCTCGATCGTACGGGTGCGAGCTGGCCGTGAAGCTGTGAATCGTTTCGTACTCGTTGCTCACGACGGAATCAGAGGTGGTCGATGGTGGGGCTTGGATTTTCACCAGCCACGGCAGGGATCTTCATTTACCTACCTACCTACCTAGGTACCTTAGCCCAAGCGCGTTGATCCATTTCAGACGCGGCTATAGGCCAGTGACGCAGCAGGGGCTCGACCGGGTTGAATGGCAAGAGTGGTAACCTCTAATGCCATCGATATTTCAACATCGCCAAATTTTCTCCAAACCATCCGCCACGCGACACCAAACGGCGACGACGCACCACCCACCATGTATTTTTAGCCAACTCCGATTATCCATTCATTGCTCATGATGCGGCCCGGATTTATTTGCAGATCCTGCCTTACCCGTCTGGCCCACGACTTGGTGCCTCGGGCTCGCACTCCACCCTACAACGGTCTCTCTCAGGCCCAGCACACTGTGTTCCAAGCTGCCAGTCATACAACGCCGCGAGCAGTTTTCAGCCATCAAAAGAGAGGAGTTGGAACATGGGCGGAGATTGCAGACGCCGAGTTCTTACTAGAGGACGACCGAAGCACTTCTAGTGCGACGAGAGCCAGTCCTCGCCGAAGATCGTCTCAGCAGACGGACTTGGCGACAGAACCTGTTTCCAGCGGAAAGCTTCGTCACGACGCAAATGGATCATCTGATCAGTCGCAAAAAGGCAGGAGACGACCAACCAGGAAGCACCGACCTCAGAGACACCACCCGATGTACGATGAAAATATCCAGAGACTGAACGACTCAGAAGTCAAAGAATTTCTTGATTGGAAGAACAAGGTGCGGCATGGGCTGCTGAAAAGGGTTCAAAGGGCAGGTTGGAAACCCTCGGAGGACCGAATGATTCGCAAACTCAAATGGTTACTGGAGCACGATACGGTCGAGTCCATGTCAGCAGCATGGGAGTCGCTAGATCTCGATCGACGAAAGCGCATCTGGCCCAACATAATCGGTTCGGCATTGGTATCTTGTCCAGAAAAGACCAAGATGGTCTTGGAGTCTACGATGAAACCGCTCCCGCCCGGTTACGCCGTCCAGGATACGCTGAACTTCCTTGCCATCTGGCAGCATTCGCTACCCTCAGACGAAGCTGTAGCCCATTCCGAAGCTCTCGCCGATGCCGTCATGCGTTTCCTCCGACTGTACCGACATCGTGATGACGCCCGGCTCAGTCTGCGACAGAACACTTTCTTCCACATGATGACTCGACTAGGGGTCAACAAGCTGGAAGAGCTCTACACCTGCTTGGTCGATCATTCTGCGCCTCTCCATCCGAACACCCTGTTGCACTTTGCAGATCGGTTTGCGAAAGACGCGAAGCGTAAAGAACTGGCACTCCAAATCACCATCGCCGCCGTAGCAGCTGGTGGTGCCAATCTCGGCTCGCCCCAGTGGCTAAGTCTCTGTACTTCAATTCTTTCTCCTGCACCCGGCGAAGGAGACGATTCACGAATAGCCTCTGCAGTAGACGCTTTTGAGGAGCTGCTGCAGCACGGCCTCACCCCGAACCTCATCAACTACACTGCGCTTGTGCGTGCACTGTGTCTACAGGGTAACCTTGAGACGGCGTGGGATGTCGTTGGCATCATTCAGCGCCACAACATCGACCCTGATGTTGTGTTGCTCTCGACGCTCATTGAAGGAGCGAAGCGGCATTTGGGGGCATTCGAGCACATTGACCGCGTCACCGAGCTCGCTGTCAAGCACAAGGCTTTTGATGCGCCATTCTGGAACGGGATTTTCTGGACCATTTTTGGTTCAGCAGAGGCAACCGCCGCGCGCATTACGCCGATCCCACACATTGTGCCAGCCTTCAAACCGATGCTGTACTTTTACTCCAAGATCTTCCACATCGAGCCCCTCCAGCACCTTATTCCTGTCAATCTGGCCGACCTGGCTGAGTCCTGTCGCCCGGAAATGTCCGAGCAGTGGCAGATGACCAGTCGCATATTCGCAGGCCTCGATGCCGTCGCAGCAGAAGTGACTGAAAAGCTTCATCCGACAGGTGCAACTCTCGGTATCATGTACATGGCCTACGTGCGCAGCTTGTCGCAGGCCTCCAGCGTGTTGTCGGCGTACTCGTTCATCCGCCAGGTCGTCCGAAAGGGGGATCCTGTTGTCATGAGGTTCATCGAGGACAAGAAGACATTCTTGTACGACGTCATCATCAAGACTCTGAGCGCGCATCCGGGCATGCTGCGGGCCGCGCTCGATATTGTCGGCGACATGCTCAAAGCAAACTTCGACGACAAGGCGCAGCCGACGGTCCACACAGACGATGTCGCAGGGCACGGCCTCAGGAGGAAGAAGGGCGGTCATCCCATCCCCAGCGAGTACACGTGGAACATTCTCCTGCGGGGTTTCATCGTGCAGAAGGAAGACGCGTCGAGCGAGCGCATCTTGCAAATGATGAAACAGCACGGCGTCAAACCCAACCTCGTCACCTGGAACACGATGCTCAGCGGCTACGCGCGTCTGCAAAACGTCAGCAAGGCCATCATGACCCTGCAAAGAATGGAGGCGGACGGCCACGAGATGAACGAGTACACGATGCGGGCGTTTGCGAAACTCGCCCGGAAAGACGGCGCTCTGCAGAAGATTGAGGAGGCCATTGGCCGCAACCAGAAGCGGCGGGACGAATTTCCGCCTCGCGTCGACGAGGTGGCGGATCTGGAGGACTTTTGACGCCTCCAGCATTGGGGGCACCCTCGGGGCTCAGGAGGGAACTAGCTCCTCAGATAATGTACCACGATTCCACTCATGCTTGCGTACACATCGTCGTGAAACCTGAAGCCCTGAAGCCCGCCACGCTCTGCTTGGGCAGCCCCTTACTGATCGCTTTTCCGTGTAAAAGCCTGGCCACATGCGCGCATCCCGCCTTGGCCTGGCCTCGCAGTTCGAAGCACCATCACAAAAAGAACTGTACTGGACACCCCAACGGCATGGGCCGTCAGACGCACACTCACCCCGGCAAAGAGGCCGCCGCCTCGGAAACACAAGGCCCATCCGCGACCTCGGCCAAGGACCGCGCGCCTGCACCACCATGTAACCCGTAGAAGGCCCGCGACGTGAAGCCAGTCCTGGCCATCGACCGTCCTGGCCGCCTCGTGTTCCCGGCCGACCACGCAGAGCAGAGGATTTGGCCGGCGAGAAGTGGCGAACTGGCCCCCTCCTGTACCGCACATTCGCCAACCACCGATTGTCTTGTGCGCGAGGGCAATGGGGCTTTGGCCAGAACCAGTTGGAGCGCCTGTTCAGCTCTCTTCCTCGCCACTCCACAGCGGCGGGACCCATGACGCCCCAAGGAGTCGGCCATCACAAGGGTTCATACAGTGTTACTCTCGGAGCAGCAGAGCCATCAGCAAGAAAGAGGGGCACAGTCAGCAGGACCGCATGAGCCAGCTTCAGAACACATATACATTCGATTCTGTACGCAGAGCCGACCGACAGGCTGCCAGAGCCGGCGGGACTACACCGTGTAAAATGCCACAATATCCTCCCTTCGACCCGATTGCTCACCGGTACCGCAGCGCACAGCGTTTATATCCAGGCCAACTACACATCCCCCAACTTCCTGCAGTTGTGTCTCTCGTGCCCTCCAAAGACGCTAGCGAAATCGCTCCAAAACTAAAACAAAAACAATGCTTTTTTCTTGATCGTACAAAATCATGCAGTACAAGCTGGGTATCATAGCCAAATCAGGTAGAAGGAGAAAGCAGAAATGGAACCCTTGGCACATCTATGCAGTGCTCTCGGGCTGGCATTGCATTATGATGAAATGCCACGAAGAACGCGAGCCGGATTGCCTACGACTATGGTGAAAGGGGGAACATCCTGAAAGAGACAAGTCAGCATGGACTGCTATGAGAGGTGTGTCTTGTCGATATCGCTATCTTACCTTGGTGACAATAGACCCCGCGCCGACGGTGCTTCCTTTGCCAATCGTCCTGCCAGGAAGAATAATAGCACCGCCACCAATCCAGCAGTCTTGCTCAATGGTAATGGCACGCCCAAGCTGTGGTCCCTTGCTGCCCATGCGCCTCTTGGGGTCAATGGGCAGCGTGGCGGTGTAAATACTGACATTCGGTCCGATGTGACAGTTGTCGCCAATCTTCACTTCGCACGTGTCAATGATGGTACAGTTGCGACCAACAATGGCATTCTGTCCGATTGTAATGTTGTAGCCGTAGTCACAGTTGAACGGCGCCTCGACGACAACATTCTCGCCAACGCGGCCAATGTTCGTCACCGGGGATGCCACCGAGGGCGATATCTGGATGGGATCGCGCGGCTGCAGGATTTCGCGGAAGAGACGGGCACGCTCGATGGGCGAGACGCCGTTGTTCGGATTCGTCGAGTTGTTGAACCGCCAGCATGCTGCGCTGCACCGCTCTCGCTCCAAAACGAGCTCCTTGTCGAATGGATAATAGTGTCTGCCCGAAAGCATCTCTTCCTTCTGCGTCCGCTGTCTGCTGCCCGCATATTGCGTGTGGGACAAAGCCAGCTGAGCCGCAACCTGTGCATTGCTCGTGGAGGGTGGCGGGGCTGGGCTGTTGGCACGGGTCGGATGGAGAATGTTGATCTGGGGAAGAGTGTTGCCCGGATGAGGGGTTTCGGGCTCGCTCCGACCCATGTCGTGCAAAGGTGGCACGCGCGGCGCCTGAAACTCCTTCCTCTCCGAGAAGCCACTCTGCTGCGAAGGGGCTTGGGCGCTAACAGGCGTTGGGAACACATTGGCCGGTGTGTATGGAAGGGCCGAAAGCTTGAGATCCGGGCTTGCGACTGAGGCGCTGGGGATCGTCGAGGCAGTGGCCCTGTCATCATCGGTTAGGATGGGCCGTCCCTGAGGAGGATCAATTCGCAACGGCTGGCCTCGGCCATAGGGAGGAAGAGGATCCCGACGAGGCGTGACAGTTGGCTGGCTCCCATAAGGGTTCTGTTGCGGCATGCCATATGCGCCTGGAGGTACGTAGCTGGGGTCTTTGGATTCCAGCGGAACGGCGGCAGCTTTGTTGTCTGGCTTCTGCCAGCCCGTACTCCTCTGTGGAGGGTACCCTGCGCAGAGGAAGCCACCGCGGATGCAGTTGATACCTGATGCAAGGGTCAGCAGGCGGCTATCGCCAGTCTGGATACGGCGACTTACATTCGGGCTTCTGCTCGTCGCACTTCTTCTTGCGCTTACGGCAGGTGAGACAGCCAGTTTTGGTGCGATTGCTAAAGTTTCGTTTGCGCTTCTTGGGATCTGACTGCAGGACGTGGTCGCGCGAGCCTCCAGGAGTGTAGGGTCCGTATACGCTCATGGACCGGTCATGGTCGTCACCTTCTGGGCTGTTGCCGTAGTCGCTGTGATTGTCCATCTGACCAGTCACCCTTCGTAGGGCATCGCCGATCTGCTCTTCCGTCTGGCCTTGGGTGGTTGAGGCCGAATGCTGGGTGTCGTAGTAGCCTCTTTCGTCACGTCCCTCTCGGGAGTACCAGGGATCATTGGGATCTCGACTGTCTTCGGCATACTGACGGTGTTCGCGCTCACGCTGTGGCGTGCCATACGCTTCACGCGACTCTGGTGGGTGCGGTTGGGTTGCTGTGTCCGGGGTCCTCTCCTGGATAGGCTGCGACTGGGGTTCCCTCTCCCTCCGAGGCTCGGATGAGTCGGATCTTTTTCTCTTGTGAGAGCCTTCGACGTCAGGGTAGGACGCAGACTGAAAACTTGGCCTATCGTGGGCAGGGGCAGGCCAAGCATCCCGTTGACTGCTGGCAACTTCGCTCGATGGGGGTTTAGGTGAAGCCTGGGACGTGGATTGCGCAGTTGGCCGCTCTTCGGGAGGCGTCTTCCGAGACTCTGGCGCCGGCGGTTCTGTTGCCTTTGGCGACCCCCCATTCAGGGCCGTGAACGCAGACATGGTGTCTGGGCGAGGAGGACGCGATGGTGATATGTTGACTGTGAATCGCAATCAAAAATAAATGCAATAGAAGAGCAATTGGTAGAATTAGGACGTGATGCGACGTATGAGACGCGACCGTCAGTGAGTTGATTACGCGCCGAGATGAGTGAGACTGCTTTTGCGCGTCACTGGTACTACAGTAGAAGATTCGGGCCGAGAGGCAGGCAGCGAGTGGTCTTTGGCGAGCTGCTGCAACGTAGGGCCCAGTGGGACAAGCTAGGTGCGGCAAACGGTGCTCGGCAAATGGCGCAGGTGGGAAAAGCTGCGAGAAACGAGATGACGATCGTGAGGCTAAAACGCGACGTAGCTGGATCGGCCTGGATCAGTATCTGGGGAGGGTGGCCTTTGTTCCGATTCAAGGTTTTGCGCGCGTCGAGAAAGCGGGTGGGGTTCCGCGGCTTTTGAATGAAGGCCCTCGTCAAGCTGAAGTGGCTAGCTGCCGACCAGCGACGTATTGCGACTTGCGGCCTGCAACTAAACGTGCGCTGTCGCAACCCTGGTTGAGGCTGGACAAATGGCGTTCCAACACTGAGAGGCTGTGCTCCTTCACAATCGAGGAGAAGAGTTGCGATGCGGGGGGGCGTTGCGCTGGGGCAATGCCAGAGCGGATGTGCAATGGCAGCGGCGCACACAAGGTCTGCCAAGCTGGACCTTTTGATACCTGGCTCTGGAAGACGATACACGCCCAGGATGGCCCGTCTACTGTACGGCACCTGGCGTGCGGGCTTGCTGTGAAGGCCGGAGAATGGTCGAGAGCCAGGGAAGGCGAAAAGATGGAGGAGAGCTCGAACTTGGGTGGCTGACCTGATGATGCTCCAGCGGCCTGTTCTTTATGCTTCTCCCTTTGGTTTCAGAGCGCGCCAGTCAAGTCGAGGCGAAGCCGATGGCTGCGCGCGTTTGTCGTGAGTGACTGACCCGGCGGTTTGAGAGAGAGAGAGAGAGAGAGAAAGCGCAGATGCCGAGAAGTTGAGGTGCGCAAGAAAGGAGGCGGGCGCGCTTGATGGGGAGGTGATCTTTTTGACGCGCGATTATCCTGCGCCTGTTTGCGAGGAGAGGGGGGGGGGAATAGATGGATGCTGGGGAGGCTGTTTGCCGAAGAAGATCTGGACCGACGGGGCCGCGGGATGGCAAGGAAGGTGTGCAACGTGCGTTTATCGACTCGTCCCCAGTCCCATGACGAAACCAGCTTTCGATTCGGGCAAGGCTAGGCGTGGGCGTGCAACTGGGTGTGTAAGTGCGTCAGCGAGAGAAGAGAAGGTGTTCGGCGTTTTGGTCTGGCCGGTCGTGGTCTCGATGCGAAGCAAGCCCAAGTGAGGCGATGCGAGCGAGGCCTGGTGAGGTGAGGTGAGGTGAGGTGAGGTAAGGAAGGTGAGGTACGATGGGATACGCTGCTGCGCAAGTGAGCGGGTGAGTGGGTAATATGAACGTCTGGTTGCGAGAGAGGTGGGCGTGGAGGAGCAGAGGGCGTGGGTTGAGAGATGCGCAGATGCAGATGGACATGGGCATGGAGATGGACATGGACATGGACATGGATGGACATGGATGGACACGGGCATGGGCGTGGATGGGCGCGCCTGTCAATAATGGTACTCATTCTGACGGTCCGTCATGGTCACAGTCAGTCACGACCGAACCGTCACAGTCGAGGCCGGAGGGCTCAGGCCAGACAGAGAGAAGGAAAAGGGGAGGGACTAGAGTGCACCGGCGGAAGCTAGCGAGCATAAGGTACACACACATGGCAAG